ACGGACTAAGAGATGCAGTCCGTCGCTTTTTGTAAAATAATTTTAAAAATTATTATTTTAATTAAAAAGCGACGGACGGCATCTCTTAGTCCGTCGCTTTTTTGGAGCGACGCTGTCCGTCGCTTTTTCTTCCGTCGTTTTTTAGCAGTTTTTTAGTAGTGATGTAGGCTATGGCTTACCAAAATGGAGCACTAATCTAAATCATCTTGCTTATGCAGATGACACTATTATCTTTGCATCAGCTAATACATATTCTTTGAAGAAAATAGTGTCAATATTGCAGGATTATGAGAGTCAATCTGGTCAGAAAGTGAATAAGGAAAAAAGTTCAGTTTATCTTCATCAGAATACTACATCTGAAGTTAAACAATTAGTGGAAGATTGTACAGGTATAAAATTGGGTCTTTTCCCTTTTTAAATACCTAGGTTGTCCCATTACTTATTCAAGGAAAAGAAAGGAGCACTATGTAGAGCTCATTCAGAGAGTGAAGGCCGAATTGCAAACATGGAAAGGAAATATGCTAACATATGGAGGTAAAGAGGTATTGATTACCAGTGTTTATACAAAGTATTCCCATTCATGTTCTTTCTGCCATTGTTCCTCCTAATTGTGTCTTAAAGGAGCTTCATAGAATTTTTGCTAAATTCTTTTGGAGTAACAAAGTGTCAGGAAGGAGTAAACATTGGGCTGCCTGGGAGAAGGTTTGTTTGCCTAAACAAGAAGGTGGCTTAGGATTTAGGTCCATGTTTGATATCTCAAAATCCATGTATGCAAAACTATGGTGGAGATTCAGAACACAAAACACCCTATGGGCAAATTTCATGTGGAACAAGTATTGTAAGAAGCAGATTCCTATACTTGTTCAATGGAGAGGGGGATCTCAGGTGTGGAAGAATATGCTGCAAAATAGAGAATGTATTGAACAATACTTATGGTGGGAACCTAAAGGGCGCACTTCTTTAGTGTGGTATGATAATTGGACCATGCTAGGTCCTTTATATCTTCAACATACAGAAGTGCACACATGTCACCCATTAATTGATGTTGATAATTCTTAAAGGAAGCTGGTTGGGATTATGATAATATGAAACAACATTTACCTTAGAATGTGGTTAATCAGGTTAGATTGCATATGGGACACATTAAGATGACTGATCAGGGGGACAAGCCTTGGTGGACAAAAACAAGCACCGAAAAGTTCAGTGTGAAGAGTGCTTGGGAGTAGTTAAGACAAAAAGAGGAGGTAAATGTGAACTATAAGCATATTTGGGTGAAAGGTCTTCCTTTTAAGGTTGCATTCTTTGGGTGGAGAGTATGGTCAAACAAAGTTCCTGTAGTTACTGTAAAGGCTAATTGGAATCCCAATATCTCTCAATTATGCACATGTTGTAGTAATCCTAATAGAGAAACTTTAGAGAACTTATTCATAAAAAGGGAGATTGCCCACAGAGTGTGGAAATACTTCACAAGTGCAGCTGGTATCATTGACTCTTTGATTCAGATCAAGCAAACAATGAAGTTATGGTAGGATGCTAATGGGAATGCTAGGCAGAAAATAGTTTTCCAGGCAATCCCTATGATAATTTTATGGTTCTTATGGAAGAGGAGGAACACTGTTGTTCATGGTGGTTCTTATTCAATCAACAAGGTTATCTGGGAGTCTAATTGCATGGTGCAAAATTTCATGACCTATAGATTTAGTTACAGGGAAGTTCCTAATACTTGGCCTCTTATGGTGGCACTGCTAGATGGTTTCAAGCCTTGCTTTAAAACCAGATAGGTAAGGTGGAATCCTCCCATTGAAGGTTGGTGGAAGGTGAACACTGATGGAGCTTCAAAAGGAAATCCAGGTCCTAGTTCTGCAGCATTTTGTATTAGAGATAGCAATGGTAACCTAGTTGGTGCAAGAGGATTGAGAGTACCAGACACTACTAATCTAGTTGCTGAGGCTGTAGCTATTAGAGAGGCTTTACAATACTGTTGGGAGAAGGGATATACTAACATTATTGTAGAGTCTGATTCTTTGACATTGGTGCATATGCTAAATGGTGATTGGGAGATACCATGGAGTGTGGCTTTGGAAGTCAACTCTATAAATAGGCTGAAGGATATGCTTTCAGTAAGAGTACAACACTCCTTAAGGGAGGAAAATACTCTTGCTGATTTTTTCGCTAACCTGGTTTTTTGTTTTGCAGGAGACTTTGAATATACAAATTTCCAGGAGGTTCCAATCGCAAGCAGAAAGATAATCAACATGGATAAGCATAATGTTCCAAATATGAGAATCAGACAATTCAATGCTACAATCTACTAAAACTGTGAGTTAATCCACAAAGAGCCAAGGTGAAGTTTAAAGCTAGTTAGAATAACACTGTATGGTAGTGCCTATAGAATCTAAAGCAACTTCTTTTGGTCAATATATCACACATCTGGTGAGAGCTTTGAGGTGTGTCATGTGGTATAAAACCAGGTCTAAGAAGGTAATGGCATTCAAGTGTCTATCTAAGTTTGTTATAACTTACACCATCTTCTTTAAGAGCCTTATAGGCAGTGCAAGACAAATCTTCACTAATGGGGTTAGAGATACAATCGCAGTCCAACAAAGAGCATAACAATGCTATTGAAGACATAACTAGTTATGCAGCCTATTCAGATAATTGATCGACAAAATCTCTCACAATCCACACAATCAGTGAAATTTACTTGAATTTAAGAACAGGTGGTGGTATTAATCCCTTGTTTGGATTCAACCTACTTAGACTTAGATTTGGGTAAGGATTAACTGATTGTAGGTTGTGAAGGTACAAGTTGACTCAAAATGAGGTGATTACATACATCGATTTCGTACTCAAGAAAAGAACAGATCTAATCATCACAAAGTCAAAACATCAGATGGTCAAGATAAGAAGCATACCTATTTTTGGAAGATGAACTACAATGGCAGTTGAGAGCTGTAGAAGGTCGGAGAAGTTGCCGGAGTTTAGACAGCCATAGAGCTCGTTGAAGAAGACCTGAATCATTTCCTTTTTTTGATTTTGTGCGTCTGTCTTTCCAAAGATTGTACAGAGTATGATGTGGGCTATGTTGTCCACATGTCTTTGTCCTTTTTATTTCAATAAAATTTAAGACCCAATGGGTCTTTTGATTAAAAAAAAAAAAAAACTCCTCTAATATTTTGTCTAGGACTAGAAGATCTTGCACTAGGAAGTACTTAAAATATATAAACAAAAACATACAGGCTTTCGCAAGTTGCCAGAGAATCAGGGAGGTTCGTAGCACCACGATGAATGTTTTTTTTGCTCTTCTTCGAAAGGAAGGGACCTCCATCTTATCCATTCTAAAAGGGCCAATAGCCTCTTTAGGAAGGTCGTCTTTGCATAGGTATATTTTTCCTTCTTGGAGAGAAGTAGCATGTTTCTCAAGGACATCTCTCTCTGAAGCAGTTACTAATTTTAACATTTCTCTGATGCATTTTCTGACGGATATCATCAATCATACTATGCAGTCGACAAGATGGTTTAGCATTCCCTTTTATCATGTTGACAATAATCATGGAATCCAATTCCATCTCAATGTTCTGAATGTGATTATTGCAGCACCATGAGATACCTATCAAGGCAACATGAGCTTCACTAAAGTTGTTAGTGTAGAATTGAGTAGGGTTGGCAAACGCCATGATCAAGTCCCCATTTTTATTCCTAACAATTCCACCCGCTCCTGCCTTATTGTTTTCTTTAATGAAGCTCCACATCCGTGTTTAATTTGTAGGCATTCGTACTTGGTTTTTGCCAACAAACCATTAAGCTACTAATTGAGCTTTTATAATTTTCAGCAATGTAACACACTTGCTACCAGTTCCAATGTTGGTCCATCCTGCTAAAATTATTTTCCATTGATACTTTGACGTGATAGAGGATTTGTTGGCACATGTTACTTGTACTAACTTGCTTGTGCTCAAATCTCATAGTGCACCTAGCTTTCCATATTTCCCAACACACTATATATAATGGGGGTGATACGGAGCAAGTGTTTATGAACAACATTTTGCGGTTGTAAGTACCACCACTGATCAAACATGTCCTTCATATTTCTTCCAGTGAGCTGCATGTCCGGGGGTAGGTAATTTGATGCCAAACTCTTTTAGCAAGGTCACTATCTATGAAAAGATGATTTATCGTCTCTTGTTTGGCAACCCTGCAACATGAGCAATTTGATCCCAAGTTAGTTTGAAACCTAAGAGTTGCAGCATCAACAATTATTATATTTTTGAGAACCTTCCACATAACAATTTTTAAAAAAAAAATGTATTTCCTTTAGCCAGAAAATAGAATCACAAGAGTTAGGAGAACTTCTCTTCCTGAGGTTATCAAAAGATGAAGAGCATGTGAATTGTCCATTAATTGGAGGTCAATCTCTATATGGCTTTGTCCTCCTGTTCTCTATAGCCAATGTGAATATTCTCCACAATGTTCACAACATTTCTTGGAATTGTTGGGTTGAGACTGTCCAAGCTAAGTCCCAATCTTGACCCTATAAGAAATTCTCCACTTTCAAGTTACCGGGGGATGGGTGTATCAGAGAATATAGAGATCCTTGAAGAGTCCAGTCATCTCACCAAAGGTAGCATTTGCCTGATCAGTTGAGTTTCCAGCAAATATATTTTTTCCACCTTGTCCCTCACGGATAGCAACTCCCTCCAACTACTGGAGTCTTTAAGGGTAGCCACCTTGGACTTAGGGTTGCTTCTTTGACAATATTTAGCTTTCAAGAATTCAGCCCAAAGAGATTTCTCTGTTCTGATTCTCCACCATATTTTAGTAGAAAATGCAAGACAAATATCATGTAAGCTTTTAAAACCAAGGTCCCCTTCCATCTTTGGATTACACATGTTTTCCCAAGAAGACCAATAACAATTGTTTTTGCCATCCTTATTTCCCTAGAGGAAATTTGAGAAGTGCATCTCAATATTTTTAATGATACTGGCATAGGGTATAAGAGCAATGAATATGTGAAGAGGTTGAGATTGGAGAAAATGTTGAATGAGGACAGTTTTTCCTCCTGGAGAGAGCATCTTCCCTGGCCAACCTGCTACCTTATTCATGATTTTTTTTTTGTAATGTCCGCAAAGTAGCTTATTCTTTTCCTTCCTGAATAGATGGGGGCATCCAAGATATGTAAAATTAAAGGAAAGGTAGCTTGATTATATATAACCTGTCCATCTTTTGATTCTTCTATTCATAAGTCTATCAATCTTGTCATGAGTGAGAAAGAAACTTTTATTATTGTTGATTTCCTGACCAGATGCCCTTTGATAATTCCTCAATTGCTTCATAACTAGTTTGATGGACCTTCTATTTACAGAAGTGAAAAGAACTAGGTCATCTGCATAGATTAAATGGTTAATTTGAGAACCTCTTTTATGCATGGAGAACCCAATAAAGTCCTCTCTATGATGAAGCGAATTAAGGAGCCCGAAACCAAAAGGGCAACAATTTTTTTCGAAAATTCCAAAAGGATAACTCAATTAATTATGAAACCAAAAGGGCAACAATTTTTAAATTAGGTTTGTAAAACAAGGCTCAGCCGCCAGTGAGCCTTACAAGGCTCATAGGAATTTGAGCCTTGCAGGTTTTTTTTTTTTTTTTTTATAAATACTCATTTTTTTTTTGTTTGTTCAAATTTATTCTGCTCTAATAGTAGAATTTCATGGGGATAAAAGAATTCGTAGAAATATCGTTATTTCCACCAATCACTTTTCGGTCATATCTTTGAAAAATAATTACTGTTTAGAGATTCTACATATCCCATTTATCCAATTGTTAAGGATAACTAATTTATACAACAATACGACACACCAAAATTCAGTGTTTCTGGTAAAAAAATTTGTAAACCAGTCCATTCGTTAACAATTGGATAAACGGGATATGTAGAATCTCTAAACAGTAATTATTTTTCAAAGATATGACCGAAAAGTGATTGGTGGAAATAACGATATTTCTACGAAATTCTTTTATCCCCATGAAATTCTACTAGTAGAGCAGAATAAATTTGAACCTCTTTTAATATTATTATTTCTTCCAAATTTGGACTAAATCTTACAGATTTTACAACTATGTATTATTATTATTAGACTTTTAACAAACAAAAAAAAATGAGAATATTTTTTTTTAAAAAAAAAAACCCTGCAAGGCTCAAATTTCTATGAGCCTTGTAAGGCTCACTGGCGGCTGAGCCTTACAAGGCTCATAGGAATTTGAGCCTTGTTTTACAAAACCTAATTTAAAAATTATTGCCCTTTTGGTTTCATAATTAATTGAGTTATCCTTTTGGAATTTTCGAAAAAATTTGTTGCCCTTTTGGTTTCGGACTCGCGAATTAAGGGCCCAAGAGAGAACTTCTGCTGCTAAAATAAACAACGCTTCCTTGTTTGATACCTCTGGTAGACTTGAAGAAACCAAACCTAGTGTTATACCCCATTTTAACCGGGTCAAAATAGTGTACAACATTTTGGTGATTTCCAAATTAATAACTAACTTAAGAAGTCGCCACCTAATTATTACGGTGAATTAGGGCACCTAAAACGATTAAAGTTTGTTGTCTAAAGTTAACTTCATTTTAAGGTCTACTAAAAATGAGATTCTAGGTAAAGGTTCAACTAATCTAAATGAAAGGGGTTAGGCATTCTTTAAGATCCATTAAAAATGGTTAATCGGCCGAACTTGACTAATTAATTAGGCTAAGGCTAGTCAAAAACTAGGTGATTAGAGTTCACGAAATAATTAAAGAGATAAGCGTAGAAAAATTTTAAGTTTAAAATTTTAGAAATAGGCAAAGGTCTCATTTACTGGATTGTTTAGCAAATTGAACTATATCTTGAAACGCTTAATAAACTCATCTTGAAATGGGTATAACCAAAAAAGGAAACATTTATTTTAAACATAAAAAGATATTTAAAGACTTAAAGAAAGTGGTGACTACTAAATAAAGCCAATTATATTTTTTTTCCTTAGTGATCACGTGAAGCAGATATTGAAATACTACCAATAACAAATCAAGTAGCAAATGAAATGTATGGGAATGACTAGAGCAGAATAAACAATTCAAACAAGTGAGCTTAAAGAAAATCAAATGCCTCCAATATAATATCAAGGCATTTCTATTCACTATATAATAAAAAGAACATTGAAATGGGGAAGTATGCATCGGGTGACCCAATTTGTTATGGGCCAAGACGGGAGTCTCCTTCGAAACTCCATATGCTCCAATGTTCATGTGAAAAAAATAAACAAAGACATAGGTTAGATAAGCAAGAGACTTGAACTTATGACTATCAATTCAAACCAAAATAAAAGTAGTAGTAATATTTTTAGTTCATGCTATTTTTGTAAAGCAAACCCAAAGAAAGACTCTAAGTAGAAGCTAAGAACTAATGCATTCTTTTGAAATTTTATTATGCTAGCTAGCACTAAAGATGATCAGGATGATATGTTTGTCCAAACTTTCTCATAAATGTAAAAGAAAAAAAAAATCCAGCTGCTAACATGATTTGTAAACAAGTTACTAATAAGCGAATTTAAATATTGCTAAAAGCAGAAAACTACTGTATACTTTATACTCAACTAGAAATGTTCTATATGAACTTAAAACACGATTTATCGGCCTATGACAATTAGCTCTTAAATCTAAACTATGATGAATACATATTCCGTAGCCAACAAATATTTTAGACAAAAGAAAGATTTCATACTCAAAAATATGGTAGAAAACAAACAAAGAGACACAGAAGCAGTAGCCATTTCATAGCATTTAAACACAAGATTAAAAGGAAAGCTAAACGAAATATGAATGTCACTTCGAATAGATAAAAATCAAAAGAGAATGGTAATCACCTGTTTCGGGGCAGTGAACTAAGTCGTCTTCGATCAAAGATCTACAATCGTTCCTCCAATAAAATCAAGCAAAACGGAAAATAAAGCAGAAGATGTTAAGATGTAAAAGAGTGGTGTTCTTTCAAGCATTCAAGTCTTTTTCGTGATTTATTTTGCAAGCCAAAAAAAACTCTTCCTCCAACTGAAGATGTACGTCCATCTTTATAGCCGACTTTAAGCGGGATTTGAAGAACGAAAAG